AAAGCATGTCCGTGAACCACTGGAAAGTTCATGGCACAAGCAGTGTGTGGGAAAGAGGTTTGGTAAACTATTAGGATGGGAGGTAACAGCTTTAAGTTGCTCCAGGGGAGGGTCAGGTTGGGTATGAGGAATAATTTCTTCTTAGAGTGATGAGGTGTTGGAACAGGCTGCCAGGGAGATGGTGGAGTCACCACCCCAGGAGGTGCTCAAGAAAAGGGCAGATGTGACAAAGATGCAAAAAAATATTTAACACCACTGAAAAGGCTGCAAGTAGGGCTGAGAAAGTTACTTCATAGTTACAGCACATCCTGACTTAGCAGAACATGGCAGTTAGAGCACTATGAAGCAGTAAGGTACACATTACAAGGTCAAGGATCGCCTACCTGAGAAAGGAAGGAGCAGCTCTCAATGGGAAAATAGCTCTTTCATCTAAAAGGAAATGCAAAGACTCGTTCCAGATGCCATACTTCTCAATACTTCTATTATTCTTGATCAACCTGTCACAGCCTACCCAAAGCCAAGGACATCACTTGCTGCTTTTCTGTTACCACAAAAATAAAAATGTAAGTGATGTGACCCCAATAAACTCTTATATAATGTACTGCTTTATCTTCCACACACCTTAAAAACAGCTACGTTATCCATACAGAATCACAGAACAGCTCAGGTTGGAAAAGACCTTAAAGATCATCGAGTCCAACCACAACCTAACCATCCTACCCTAACTCTAACAACCCTCTGCTAAATCATGTCCCTGAGCACCACATCCAAATGGTTTTTAAACACATGCAGGGATGGTGACTCAACCACCTCCCTGGGCAGCCTATGCCAGTGCTTAACAACCCTTTCTGTAAAGAAGTTTTCCCTGATATCCAACCTAAACTTACCCTGGCACAACTTGAGGCCATTTCCCCTCATCCTGTCACCTGTCACCAGTGAGAAGAGACCAGCCCCACTCTTGCTGCAAGCCCATATTTTTCTGCAAAGTGAATATAAGCTGATTTACAGCTATCCAAGCCAGTTAGCTTACTCAGAGAAAAACAAAAACCCTAAATTGATGTATCAGCAGATTCTCATTTAGGAAATAAAATAGAGCTTAAATCTAACAAAGATTATGGTATTTCAGCAAAGCCATACAGCCCTTGCTTTTGCTTTGGAAGGATGAGAAGATAAAATAATGAAACAACGGTGAAAAAAATAATGAAAAATGTCACTGAAGAAACATTGAGGAAAAGTATTCTCACATATCAGACCTATACAAAACATCCGAACTTTTAAATTGACCATCTGATTTCAATTTTATGAACTGCATTTCAACACTATGTTGTCTCATTGCTTCTTACCAGGAGTTGCAATACAGGTCTCTTTTCTTTTGCATGGAAAACCCTCAGTTCTCAACAGACATCTCATGATGTACCAGCAGAGAGGGAAAGAATTTCCTCCAACTAACTGGATTGCTGGAAGGAGGCAGGAGTTCAAATGACATGTATCACACAGACAAATGCAAAATGATGAAAATATTTCTTTTTGCAGCTCATTGAAAATGAATTATATTGGTCAGTTCAAAAAAGGAAAGTACTGACACACTCTAAATTACATCAGGAAAGAGAAAACAATCAAAGAAAAATGAGCTAGACAGAGCCCGATCTTCTCTTATCTACTACAGAGCAATAACGAAAATGTACCAGCCCTGCAGAATGCTTCAGGAGACAAAACATGTAAGACAAAACCCTGGCTTTCATCTTTACTGGAAAAAAACCAAAAACAACAACAACAAAAAAACACCACAATAAAAAGAACAAATTTAAAGTGTCCAGCACAGCAAAATAGACTAGAACGAACCTAAAGGGGCACGGCCACCAGAACAGAAGGCTTAATAGGACACCATGTAACATCATATTTGAAAACAACCAAAAACCTGCTGTTACATTAGGTCTGATGTTTATTATTATTATTTCTGTAAATGGAAAAGTAACATCAAATCATCTGTCAAAGCTTTTAGTACTTCAGGAAATCAAGATACAGAAGTTTAGATCAAGCAGTAAAACTAGAGCTTTTCTGCCCCTTTATTAACAACACATCAGCTGCCTGCTAACAAAATATGCATGTTTCACTGATTTAAATGTCATGATTAGGAAAGTAAAACTACAGCTAAGCATCTGAACTCTTCTGTTTAAATTTACTTACCAAACACTTCACTAGTGTGAAATATGCAGCAGATACTCAGAACCTGCCTTTGCTACACTAACATTCTACATTCTACCTGCTATTTCTGTCACTATTTCATCAAATGCTGTGAACTAGCAATTCTTTAGAAATCAGAAACAAAAGAAAACAATAGCAACACACCTGTGATGTCTGACAAATCAATAGGTGTACTGCATAAACACTATGCTGGATAATAAAAATAATTAGATTTCAAATCCAATGGAACTGAGTTCTAACTGAAAAGAGTCTTTACATTTCTAGTATGTACTTGTTGGCAAAATAAGACATTTTCCTCACTTGCAAGGAGAAATTCAACACCTGCAGCATGTGTATTTCATATCCTCATTTTTATTCCCATATTTGTATCATAGTATAATATGCCATCAGTGACAAGAAAGCAACTTCTGTCTCAGATGCATGCACTTGCAGTTAGTAGCTTAAACCACAAACGTGAGACCCTCACAAAACGTGAACATACTGTAAAATAACAATTGTGTTTTTACCTGTTACGTCGCTGCACTTACCTTGGAATACAGCATTACAGATTAAGCAGTTCCCAATAACTCTTTGATTCTGTGACAAGTTGCAAAGCACTCTATTCTTGTTATGTGTCTTTTGCAAACAGCAAGCCTACGCTGATCAACACGCCTCTGCATGTCAGAACTGCTCCCCATCCACAACAATTTATTAAAGCATTAAATCATGGAAATGCTCCATCCTTTTAAAGCAGTAATAATTCATGTCTACTTAAATCCAAATTTTTAGTTAGAGAGAACTTCAGTGTCAACTAAAAACTGCTTTTAAAAAAAGCCCATTTCCTCTAAAAACAGAAGATGGTTACCTTTTTTTACAGTACTTTTTCACTGATTACCTTTTGGTAATATCTCAGCACGCTCTGTGAACAGCACTTTACTTCATCCCTTTATCATGGTTTAAGGTACCACAGATCACGTGAATAAATTAGATGAGTCTCTCTCTCAAAAAAAATTAAACTTCTAATTTGAAGTGTACTTTTATACTGAAATATAAGAACATGTAGATAATTAAAGCATTACGGATCATTGACAATTATTTCCACAATTCTCTTGAGACAGGGAAAAGGTGACCATGGAAATTAAGATATAGTAACACAATTGGTGTCAATGTTAAATAACAAGTGAGAGCTTTTTTTAAAAAAAAAAAAGTATACATGGTTCAATATGTTAAGAATCCATGCACTACTTGCATTATTGTTCAAATCATTACAGCAACTATTTAAATGTGAAACTGCACACTTCAACTCCTGCAGTTAATCAAATCCCTTAGAAAAATATTATTCTTGACACGGGTTAAATTGTACAAGTGTAGACTTGCACAGTAGTTGTGAAAAACCACAGAAAGATACTTTGTTACATACCTGGATTTTCAGGTTTTGTTATTCAGACTTTAAAGATAAAGCACCTTGTAGGGCCCCTATGACACACTGCCTATAAGTAAAAAACGGAAACCATGCTGGCTTCACAATTCTCCAAATTCTGATGACTATTACATTGTAATAATAACAAAACAGACAACAGAATGGTTTGAGCTAGGTTCTCATACTCTTCACAAGCCTTCAAGATCTACTCATTCAGTGTTTTAGAAAATCAAACACAGAGCTGAAGAGTTGTTTCAGCCAACAGGTTAACAGCAGCGCTCATCTGCATAAAAGCTTAAGAATAAAAAACTTGCACTGAATTACTGAAACAACACTGAAGACAAATATATTTTATTAATACAGAAAGCAGTTAGAAAGCAAGCAAAGTGAAAGCTTATGAATGTATCAGTTTTTAAGCAAAAAAAAAAAAAAAAGTAATAAATTAGTCTATCTCCATGCTGGCTCTTTTGCTGTTATGTGCTGAACAGATCACGTTGGCTGTGCCAAAGAGCACAATCTGGTTTTACAGAGGTATACCCATTACTTGCATTGAATGGATGCACCCCAACTGATGAGATCTGACAGCTTAATTAAATGCTTCATTTTTAGATGAAAGAAATGGGCTAAGAAAGACTTGATGAATTTCGCCTGCAGTGATAAAATTTAGGTTTTTTTAGACACAAAAAGGTCAACGGTGTGCAGACACCATCGTATTCTATAATCTGCTGTTGAGAATGAATAAATAAATTAAAAAAGAAATCGAGATCACAGAGTTTAAGGCTGGTGAATACTGTTGCTTCAGCTGAGGGGAGCTTCTGAGATGAGCCACAAAATACATGCCTTCTTTTTGCCAACAGCTTTTGGCAATATCTACCAGTTAAACATAAGCACAACCCGAGACATCATTGTTTTTAAAAAAAACAAAGTCTCATCAAAGATAATGAGAATCATTAAAATTGATTAATACATAAATAATCTCTTCTTTTGGGACTGAGTTTCCAAAGATATCTAACAGGACCTTCCTTAAAGAAAACCTTCTGTACAGTTATTTGTTGTATGAAAACATCTTTGTCTTAGGTTTCTGTAGAAAGACTACGCTACACCTCGTATCAAATATTTTACTGAAATCAAACTTATTACAACTGTAATAAATATAGCTTTTAAAAACATTTAATGTACAATTTTATTTACATGAAAGTCCACTAAAGGAACAACCTCCAGAAAGAAATGGTCTCGAACCAGGCCTATTTAAACCAGAAAATCCACTGGTTTATTGGAGGTGGTGATGTTTTTTAGAAGGGGAAGTAACAGATTTTTATCACTGCAAACACTGCAACTGTGTTATTGGCTACTGGAAACACTGAAAGAATTCCATGAGTCTGTATTGCCTCCCCACCTATGTCTTCGCTGCAGAGGTGGCCTCTGTGTGTGTTTGTGAGGAGGTAACTCTGAATTCATGACAACAGGTATGGATATTTGATATTCGTATCGTTCCAACATCTGAGCAATCTTCTCACGAGTGACCCCATGTTTATTCCTCCTACAAAAACAAAAATTTAAATGAATTGCCTGGTATGGTTATGTTTACAGTCTATAAGAAAAAAAAAAACCAACTTATTTCACAATTTTTCTCCTTGCTTCTCATTTCTAAAAGAACCAGATGTATTTTCCTGTATTTCTTAGCAGTAATCTTTACATAATTGAAAAACATACATACAACTAAGTCAAGTGATTGCATAAATTTTAATTTGAAACTTTATAGCATTTCAAATTAAAACTTTTTTACACTCTATTCTAATTCTCTCAGTATTCAATTTGCATTAATGCTTATTTTATTTTTAATAATTCACCACTGAAAGCACTAAGTACCAGGAAACAATACAGCCATTCTTCTTTATAAAGAAACCCGCTGTTATTCACCAGGACAGCATACCTAAGCAGCCCTAGAAACATTTTTGTTCCTATTTATTCTTAAGATTTTATATTGTATACTAGCTAACGAGTAGAGAGATTAATGCCTTATAGACTATTACTCTATTATTTGGGAAAATAAACTAGCATCAGAAATGGAACTATATGATTTCAAGACTTAGAGACAGAATATTTTCTCATCAATGAAACTAAGGGAAATGAAGAGAAACATTTTAAAATTATTTTTTAAAACAAGCAGTGCATGCTCATACTTGTATCTACTATTTTTACTGATACTTGTTTCAAATTTAGAAATAGACACAGAAAGGACAGATATGGCAGATAAGGGAAAGAATCAAAGCAGCCAAAAGAGACAATCTGTTCTTGCAGCAGTGAACAACCACTGCTTCCAGAGAGAACTGGGCCTATTAAGAACCTGAGACACTAGAAATTACATTGTAATGCTTCTATTTTCTCAGCACCTATGGAATAACAACTCAAAACTCACATTAATAGAATTTCAGCCTCCCCTAAAAACACAACAATGAGGTTAATGCACAAACTGAGTGTCAGAGAATTACCAGCACTGCAACAGAACTGACTCTAGAAAAAGATCAAGACAGCACATCCTCCTTTGGTATATCTTCCCTAATCTTTTTGGCAGCCTGGCTACACCAAAGGAACATAAAGGCATCTCGTCCTTCACCAACACATGTACCAGCAATATCTCCTAGCAGACAGTTAGACTTTGAAAGCTTTATCTGTTGATAACAGCCAGGTTCTGTCACTATTAAAAGCTTCTACATTAGAAGAATCTTGCCACGCAGAGCACCCCAATCTATTGATAAAATAATACTACATAGACATTACTACCTAAAAATAAAAAATAAAACATCAGCACAAGTTCAATGAAGTCAATGCCAAACTGCAGTTCTATGATCACACTGAAGAAAAACGAATATATTTCGTTTGCTTGCATTTCACTTCTGTTTATATATTCAACAGGTAAACTTTGACATCTATCCTCAAATACTGCTTTGACAGGATATCTGTTATTTGCCAGAAGTCTGAATCAAACGCACACCTCCATGTTCTGCCTCCTACTCAGAAATCATAAAAGCTCTCTGAAAGAGGGTAATGTTTTCATCCACTGCTAAGTAAGCTCTTAAAACATCTCTCTTCAACCAAGGTGCCACTTGTTTGTTCCGACTTGCAGTTTTCAGAATTACCTAAAAATTACATCTGGAAGTACAAAATCCTTTACATAAGGGGTCTAAAAACTTAGTGGCAGTGCTTAAGACATGTTACAAGACACACACGTGGGACGTCAAGACGTTTCCACAAGCTATGCGAAGAACACTAAACTAGAAGCAAAAAAAAATCACACACAAGTGAGTCTAAAGACAATATGTACCTCATCAACATGAGGAAGAAGACACTGAATGCACATTTATCATGTTCCTGACATCAGGCATTCACCTAGTGTCAACTTAGTCTCTTTTCCTTTCAGTAAGGCTTTGCTCTTATTTCTTAAACACTAGGCTGTGGCAGAAACGACTTAATAAAGGTATCTAGAAAAACACAAGACTCCTAGAATATCAGGATAATCTAGTACTGAATAAATGTTATGAACAATTCTATCAGACAGTGCCACCAAAAAAAAAAAAAGAGGGAAGGGAGAAAGGAGGGAAAAGAGAAAAAAAAAGAAGGATATATTCAAAATACTTTGGCTAGGTAAAGTACAAGCTAGCTTGGTTTTATTCCAAGCAGAAACAAAGACTGTAAATAGTGACTTAGGAGGGAATCAGAATGCACAACTCCAGACAATTAATAGGATTTATGGAGTAGTATTTACCCAGGTAGTGCACAAAATGTCGAGCTCAGTGTAAGGGGAAAATCCCCAAACTACAGTAACTCCTCTATCATCTATTTCCTAAATACACTACATAGGGAAAACAACAACATGAACTTGCAGAACAAAATACCACATCTCCACTTTTCCTAAACTCCCAATAAACAAAGTTTATTGCACATCTATTCAAATACATAAAGCAACTGGATTGGCCAAAAAAGTTCCAGAAAACTCACAAGGTAAAATCACTTCATAGTTCAAGGGCTTTCCTTTCATTTTGTTAGGGATTTTGGTCTTACAATTAATGACCAGACAAAGAAATCCAATGATAACAATAACATTTCTCTTTTTGCTTTAACTTTGTACCTATTCATGAGAAAACACCCATTTTCCTAGAAAATTCTAGTTTGTCTCATACAAAGGAAATCTCACACTGAACATCTTAGAAATGCCTGATTACTATAACAGCTTCCTTCCTAACTTTGCAGTGCTGTATCATAAACTAGAAAAATTTATTAGAACTCATCTCAAAGAGAGAGACTCCATCCCTAACAATAAATCACAAGTAGCTTAGGACTAAAAGAAGAACATTTTAGAAGATTTATCAAGAACACACAAAAAAAATGAAGTCTCAGTCAGTAACACAGGTATTACACACGTGGTGTTTTGTAGAGGCTATTTTACAAAGCTGAAATAATGATAAACCAAGTCATCTGGAGACAAACAAAATCATGAACAGTAAGAGAACACTTTATCAACCATGAAAGTATTAAATTGCATTTCAAACACTGAAAGTCCCCTAAGTTGGGCTGGTACCTCTCAGATTCCTAAAGATCTGCCTGAGACAAAAGAGAAATTTACCAAGAATAACCAACAGCTTTTGAGGCACTCTCACAACCCACAGGCTCGACAACTTATGCCCAAAATTATACTCAAAGATCTAAATGCTCTGAAGATTGGAAATAGTTTCACAAAATCCTGTGATAGAATAGCCTAAAACACAAGCTTTCTATTTAATCTATACTGATTTGGAATGCAGTACTGTTCCCTGATGAAGAGACATTTAAAGAAAGAAAACATAAGGCACTTCTATTGAGGCACTCTTAATTTCTTCTTACATTCTAACTATTTATTGTCTGTTTCGTAGCAACAAGTTTCCCAGGATAACTTAAGTTTTTCATTACAGCAGAAGCACTTTCTACAATAGCTGATCACTTCCTAATTTGCTTCCAAGAAAGTTTTAATATTGACTTCTAGAATCAACAAGACAATATTTTGATATCCACAAGTCTAGTGTGTCTCAAAAAGCATATTTTAAACAAATAGTTAAATTATATTTTCAGTATAAGACACTGGATAAAATATAAACTTCCTATATGTTTTTACATGGGCAAATTTCTTTATATCTTTTGATACAATAAATACAATGATTTATCTAAAATAAACCTTACTTTTCCAATTCTTCAGGATCAAATTTCCACCAAGTATCTGGCTCACGGAACTCCACTCTGTATCCCTTTTCTAGAGCCTGTAGCAAGCAAAGAAAAATGTTTTGTATGAGTAGTATTATATAAAATATGAACAGTAATAACTATAACAAGAAGTTCATGGGCCACTACAATAAACAAATGTAGTTAACTATACATTGTAGCACACTGAATTTTACTTGCCCCAAACCTGTCTTTCAGTCCAGGCTCAGCAGATTAGATCACATCTGTCCTAAAACCATTCTGGACTATCGCCATACCATTTCCTTACTGCATCAACAAGCAGTCTCCCTTCAGAAACCAAAGAAAGGAAGATGTTTCTGCACATAGCAGACCAGCTCATTGCATACGAAGGTAAATTCACAGAGCTGTAACAGATGGTATAATTTCAGAATAAAACCTACCACTTCCACATATGGCTTCATCTCCCAGGCTTGAGTATTAGTGTTGTCTATTATAACTGGAGATTTTCCCTGCTCCATCGCCTGTTTGGCTGCAACAAAAGAAACTACATGTAAATAAGCAATTTTATATAATTCAAATACACACGCAAGAAAGTTTTTGCATTAATCTGGTCTGATTGAAACACACAGTTCTACGAAAAGTAGAGATGGAAATGTAAAGTAACATGAGCAAATAGGTAAGAGAAATGAAGCAAGGAACATAGAACCAAGGCAGTGGTGAATTGATACAAAGGGTTAAATAGGAATTGTTGAAACAATACGACAGAGCTGCTCCAAGTATGTGCCCTGTTGAGTGTTAAAGAGACTCCTGGCATGAAACCATATTCAGGCTCCAACTTCACCAGCAGCACATGATGCATTCATAACTGGGACCTATGGCTAGGTAGTGAACTTACTCAACAAAACGTCATGAAATATGTAATATTTATACAAAGACATCCAAAATATTAGTGAGATCCATTAAAAAACCTGTAGAGGTTTAACTTGGCAAACAGCTAAACACTACATAGCCTTTCACTCACTCTCCCCAGTCCCAGTGGGACAGAGGAGAGAAATAAAAAAAAAACTAAAAAACAACAGAACTCATAGGTTGAGATAAAAACCGTTTACTAAAACAAAGAGAGAAATAATAGTAATGATAATGATACATACATGCATATATTTACAAAACAAATGATGTGCAACACAGTAGCTCACTACCCACAACCAGTGTCAATGCCTCAGCAGCGCCTGCCTCCCCAGCCAGCTCCCATGGGTGTTATGGTTTCCTCACCCGATGCCATATGGTATGGAAGATCCCTTTGGCTGGTTTAGGTCAGCTGTTCTGGCTCTCCCCCCTCCCAGCTCCTTCTACCCCTCAGCCCCCTCACTGGCAGGACAGTATGAGAAGCTGAAAAACAGAAACACTCCTGGCTCGGTACAGCATTGCTCAGCAATAACTTGAACATCAGTGTGTAGCCAGCAGTTTTTCTCCTGAAGCCAAAACACAGCACCATACCATTCACTATGAGGAAAATCAACTCTGTTCTAGTTGCAACCAAGGCAAAATCTAACTCTGATCTTGAGATCAGGCACTCATTCCTCTAAATCCCTCATCCCCCACAGTCAGTCCGGAAAGCATTCTGTGAGGATTCCTAACTCTCGTTACCAGGATTTGTCTCTGGAGGACAAAAAGGTATGCTTAAGAAAGGGGTTGTACAACATATCTAAAAAGCATGATTATGTCAACCAGCTTCTGCATAATGGTATACAGGAGTCTTACCCAAGCAACTGAAAAATGCAAGTACTACAATCATATCAGCTTGACATCTACACCTACTTCAGAGAAACTAGGATAGCAATTAATCTATTCTCATCAGAAGTGCAGAAAGAACTCCTACAAAAGAGTACTTAGAGAGGGTACTCTTTTGTACCTCGCTTTTGAGACAAATGTTCTACCTTAATTTTCATTGTTTTAATTTCCTTCACCTAGTGATTTGAAAAGGTCTCCGCTGCCTTTCGTAGAAAGGGACGCTACATTTACATCTTTAGAAAAGGACTACTTTGTGAATTAGGTTCTTTCTGCAGCCTGAAACTAAGCCAGAGGGAGAAGCAGATCTCTAATGTGTGACAGTACATCAGATTCATGCATTAGATGCCTCTAACAATAACTCTAAAGCATCTCACAATTAAAGTAAGACCTCTGTCAAACCATAAACCAAAGAATAATTATTTTGCTGTTTAAAGAAATCTCACAAAGATGAATTCCATTAAAAAAAAAAAAATCAACTGCTCTGGTACTACAGATTTAAAAAAAAAAAAAAAAAAAAAAAAAAAGATTAGCTTAAGATTAACTTTTATTTAGTTCTAAGCAGTATTAATGATCTGAGTTACAAACATGTCAAGAATTTCACATTTCAAAGACCTTGCAAGAAAGAGTTTAGTCTGCCTTTCAGGACATATTAAAAGGGCACAATAGATAAAAAACGCACCATGGCTGCAAAGTAAAACCCTGTACCTTCAGAAATGCATGATCCAAGGCTAGCTGCATAGTAATTACTGGATACATGTGTTACCATACTGAACTTCACACACGTGCTTGTGCACCACTTCCTCTCATAGTCTCCTACCTCTTTCAGCACACAGACTTGTTCCAGGATTGAGTTAGGGGTATGTATCACACCATCAGCATCACTCCAGCATTCCTCTTTTTTGAGATAATTGTAAGATAAATAATGGGTAAGCCAGGACGACTGCCAATGAAGAAGGATTGTCTTCTGGTGAATGTTCCTAAACGTTCCAAATAGCCACTACTTTGCCTGATCTTCATTTTCTAGCTGTCAGTTTTGAAAGTCACAGATATCATTTACAGAAGTGATAGGAACTCATATGAAGACAGTGAAAATTTGAGTACGTGAAGTTCTATTACTACTACACTTCCCAAACAATGCTCAAATTGCCAAGCCTGGCATCCAAGACAGCAAGTTATTTTAACAACCGTGCCTTAGGTTGCCAATAAAAAAAGTTCATAATGTAATACCACCAGTGCTGACATGGGACTTAAGATGATGAACTAGATGACAGAACTGAAATAATTGAAACTCAAAATAAGAATAGTGTTGTAAAAGTTTCCAAGAGAATTAATAATGTCTTGCTAAACTGAGTCAGAAACAGTATATATCAAATGAAAAGAGAGATCCACAGTGAGTACTGAGGATTATTCAGTGTGTGTGTATACACACACACACACCTGTTGTATATGTACTCATTCAACAAACACTGCTCAATCTGTACATTGAATGAAGCAAGTATCCAAAGGAAGAAAAAAAACAACTAAGTTATTGTTGAAAACTAGGGATTTATCCTGATGAAATCAATCCATAAAACAAGAAACTAAAGGAAAAGAGGCTGGGAAGTAACCACAGAGATGGAAGGCAGAAAAAAAAGATAAAGTATGTTCTATCAGAGAATTAGGAATCAGTGGACAAAGCCATGAAGACTGAACAATATTTTGTTCTGGCTTCATTAACCTTGCACAAGTGACAGACTGATGTGATTCAGGCTTCAGGATTTTTCCCTGAAAGATGGCATTCAGGAAAGATTAATAAAGAATACAAAGATTAATAGAGAGAATAACCAATTTGCCAACGAAGGGCCAAAATTTACAAAAGCTTGTGAAGAAAGACTGCATTGAAGTTACAATGGCAAATTAATTCCAGCATTTGCTGTATTTGTGCACTTGATCCCCCAACCTACAAATTAAATGCAAACGTGCGTTGTTATCAAGGATAGGTAATTCACTGTCTTGTAAACATTCAAGAGTTTTAACTCCTGTTCACCTAAATCCCTCACACAGTCACTCAATCTGATCAGCTTTTCTGCTCCCCAGCCAACTCGTAACTTCCTTTGAAATACTGATAATGCTGCAATGCAATGTCAAAAGGGCTTCTTACAAGTTTTACAACTCCAATAACTGCTCAAAAAAACTCTTCACTGTTCACTTGTAACTTTTCCCCAGTGCATCATAAAATTTTTATTAGGGTGAGAATGGAAGAAAAGGGGAAAATATTTGCACCGTCCTGCAGACATCTTTATCCTTGGGTTCTCAATAACTTTTAATGCAAAGGATTCATTCCTCTTGCAGGAAGCTTCTGTTTAATCTCACTCTGCAATGTCTTAATCTGCATGCAAAGGTCTGTCCTATCCTTGGAGTGAATCAAACATGTACAGAGATTCTTACAAAACTACTACAGAAAGGGTGAGAATCAGCCTGTTTCCCATCCTCCTTGGATGTACCTTGGGTACCTACTTCACTCAGTCCTTAACTGCTAGGTGTAATTTGCTTTACGAAAGTGTTAACCCACAAAAGAAAACTGAAGTTTTCCTCAGAAAAACTCTTCCACAAATCTTGGACAAACCTCACATCAGGCAAGACTCTGGAAAAAACAGGACACTGCTGACGCCAGCAAAAGATGTTCAATTCAGACACAAGGATATTAGTCTCAGATGTAACAAATCAGTAGATCAGAGCATACAGAAAAGATTTTGCCCTTAGAATTTGCACTTCTGCAATTTCAAAATCCAATACAAGTTTAAATACTGATTAAAATATAACATAAAGATACAAATACGTATACTCTGACAGTTTTATATACACACATTCCTACACTTCCACACACACATACATGCCCCATCTCATATATAGTATTAGCACACACATGTTTGGCTTTACTTCTGTTTTCTAAATAGAAGAGTGATTTAATAGAATTTCATTTCATTCAAACCTCTCTTCTGGTTCCAGTCATGGGCATCCCCCAGCTGAGCAGCATTATATGTATATCCATCTTGTTGACGAAAGTAATCATCGGTGCTGAGTGCAACGCCATCACGGCTGTGATCGAGCAGAAAACTATTGAGAAAAGGGAAATGCAAAATATTACAGGATTTATTTTTCATATTAAACCCCCCAAAAAACAATAAAGCTAAAATAAATCAGTGCCGTACTTCTGAGATTCTTGCAAAATCTGAAATATTTTGTATTGGAAAAACGTAAGTATACTATTAATTTCAATTCAGATTAAAGCAGTGTTTTTCCCCCCTCTCTACTTCTGTATTTGTTGTTTCTCCAACTTAGAAGTTTGTAGCCACCTACTTCATGGCTCTGCCACAATAGGTTCTGAGCACCTACTGGTCATTTATCATATTTGTTAACATTTGCCATATCAGTTCTTATCTGTAATTATCTCTAGGAACCGATCTGATCACAGGACCTGGATAAACTGAGAAATGAACTGGATGCTTACATAGTTCTTCCTCTAAGCAAGCATTCTTCTGCCCACTGTTCATGTTTCTTGCACATACAATATGCACTGAATAGGAACAGCAAAAGAAAACTTCTAATGTTTTCAGCAATTTCCATATTTTCAGGGAAAAATAGAGCATCACAATAAAAGTTCGGGATTGTGCTACTAACAAAAGTCAGGATTACAGATTGCATCCTATATTGGAGGAATAGGAATTTCTATGTTTATTCCTTCAATATAGGATGCATACTCTTCTGTAATTCCATTTCTACGAAATTTCTGTCTTCTGCCCCAATCCAAGCCACACAATCTCACTCACACCCACCTTTTCTTCAGCAATGAAACTCCCTGCATTGAGAAGTTACTCCGAAAAAAAGTGACCCTTATTTCTTTTTTTTTTTTTTTTCCTGTGCCAAATTTTGGAAACTTTAGCATTTGTACTTACTCAAGTGAAGGCCCAACAAGATGACACAAGGAAAGTGATGAAAGAAGATCAATACAGACCTTCTCTAGTAGCAGCAGTGAGCTGCTACAGGGGTAACCCCATCCTTTAGAACTGCAGTTCCAGTCACACAGGTGACAAGAAATTTAAGATACAGTTTTTAATTGCTGTCATTCACACTTCAGGGTTAACAAGGCGATAGAAAAGCACGCGTTTTATTATCCCTGCACGTATTAAACTTCAAATCAGGAGAAAAACAATCGCTTCTTGAACCACTTAAATCACTTGATTAAAGTGGGTTAGCCTGGCTTCCTGAGGAAATGCCATTTTATGGTGACTTGCAACAGGGCATGAGTTTGATGGGTGAAATGAAAGGGGAAGAAATGCTCGGATAAATCAAAACAGTTAGCAAATGAATAAAATGCAGAGATCCAAACTAGAATCCTAAAAAATTAGAAAGTAAAACGGATTGCAGTGTGAATTTTACATTTACCCAGTCTTTCAGGCCTGCCATTTTTAAGCAGCACAGATATACTAGAAGTTTATTTCGTCTGTGGGTCAGAATAACCTAACACTAAAAATTACAGCAGGAAGCCAGATGAAAACAGCTTCAACATAAAGAACAAAAGACACTGGGGGAATTCAACTCAGGCAAAAGGAAATCTCAGAAGTGGTTGTAAAGTATATTGTTAACAAGTTTTTTATCCGTTTTATAATATTTCACAATATTGGTAATGTTTCTGATTATTATATTAGTTACTGCAATGATTTAGATTAGTTATTGCAATGAGCGATGAAAGAATATTGCACAAATCCATTAAACTTCTCTAGAATTCTCTATTTGCATTAGCATGAAATGCAACAGTTAAACCACTGAGAGGCATAACTGAGCTAGTTTTTGGAGTTAACTAAAATTCATGCTCAGTATTGCCCAAGAAATACCTGTGAATCAGAGAAACCAACGAGTAAAGTTGCAGGTGGGGTTAGCCTCCTCCCCCCCTGGTTGATCAGCAACATCAGAACTTCATACACGTGATCAAACCTACATTAATCCAACCCAGTGAGTAATCTCTATTCTGTCAAACTTTCAGGAAATCCCTGGAAATTGGTGCTTAAAGGAAAATCCTGTGAAATGGAGATAACTCTCCTTTCACTCAGATCTACAAGTCTGATCCCATGACTGTTCTTGCTTTCTATAGTATATTCCAATTTATAAAAACAGCCAGTCATTGCCACAGAGCATCTATATCCCACTGAGACTCTTGGATTCCACTGCCTGATGGAAACTGCAGCAACTACTCAGACTCAAAAATAGGCACTGTACCCAAAGGCTACAAGAAGAAAACTGCCCCAGCAGCATACATGATACACTGTTGCTGAGGTGCCAGGAACAGAGGAGAGCTGGCCAAATCCCAAACAACCCAAGGCAAGAAATGCATGTTAGCTCTAAATAGCTGCAGGGAGAGCTACTTAAGTTTAATTCCCACACAAGGAAGGTGCTGTGAATTGCCATGTCATCAACAATACACCTTGCAGAGCTCATAGTTAAAGACTGAACGGCCCAACTTCACATTGGTTACAGATAGAGATTTGCATTAAAAACGCAGCTGGAAGAAAAATAAATCCAATTTTACATAACAACAATTTAAAAAATTAAAAACACTGTAGTATATTGTTTATATTCCTATATGTTTACTGTCCTACAATTAAGTTGTTGGTTATTCTCGCCTTTAAAGCATGGAGATTTCCTAACAACAAAAACAAAATTAATGGGGAACAGAAGGAACTACAAATAATGCGTCTGTGAAGTAAATGGCCAAAGATGCCTCCGATCCATTTTTTCCTGTTTGTTCTTTCTCCCTATTCCAGGGTACAAGGTTACCTCAAAATAAAGACCAGTGCTCTTTCAGAAAGCAGAGTATGATACAACAAAATTACAGCCACTTTGCTGGACATCATTCAGTCAGTATTTTTGTTTGAGTCTTCACCTTTTGGTAGGATGTGTATTTTACTGGTAGGAGAGCACAAATAAACAAAATGGCACCAGTGAGTCATACAGCATAAAAACCAGCATTCTCTTCTAATACCAATTCCTGTTTCACATAGAACACTTAACAGGAATGCACATTTCCTAAGTTATCTTGCCAGGATTTCACACACGGCCCAATTTTCATATTTTCAGTACCCTAATTTGCCAGCTAATAATGCTCCAAACAACTGGATCCAGCTTCTACACTCACTTCTTGTGTGCCCAATGCATGTGCATGTGTAACAGAGAATAAGAACCGCCCTCCTTAATAAAGGAGATAAGAACTAATAGCTGGGACCTGATTCTTCAACTGATGAACGAACACAGCAATCAATGGGGCACTCATGCGTATTATCATTTCCAGAAACTGTTCAGAGTTCTGTAAAGTAATTCATTTACTCAAATTCCTCTGTATTTTCCAAACCACAACAGTCCTTGCAATAAGGAAACACTACAAGGGGTTAGGAATCTTGCAAACCCATAAACACAATTCATTCCTGAAATACTTTATTACTATTTCTCAATGCTCAGAACGTACCACAATTTATGAACCTATATAACCAGCTAGCAGATTTAATACAGTGAACTGTACAAGAATGAAACTGAAACTACCTAACTGCAGCAGCAGATTGACTCCCAAAGATGACAGGGCAACAGAATCCTTACCCCAAATACAACACACACACCATCTCCAAGTAATGAGCTAATGAACTAGAGCTTCAAATATGATGCCAATGTTCAGAGCCTGTTTCATAACTTTGGCATGAAGTCATAAAACAACACTTTCAAAGTCTAACAATCATCTCTTTTAGAAGCTGTGCTATTTCAACTTGTAAAATCTCAAAACATCAACTTCACGTGGAATAATTTACGCACTTCTAAGATGTATTTGGAAATAAAATTTATCCTAGGCTCATAAAACAATAAAGCTCACCTATGCAAAGAATGAATCTAATCTCACAAAGAGGTGATTCCACTGCTGTGAGGTGAGAAAGGAAAAACAATGAAGATAACTCTCTAACAGGAAAGTCAAACTGCAGATCAGTAGCATCGGTACGCGCACGTGTGACACAAGTTGCAGTAATAACCAACCACTGCAAACCAGCTCCTCTGCATCCATTTACAGGACATTCCATGCAATAGAACATTCGCCTCCAAGTCTAACAGCACAGTGACACTGAAGCAGATAGAAAAATCACAGCAGCTCACTTAGGTTTTCTTTTAGATAATCTAGTTGATCTAATGCAAGTTATCATTTCTACACACAAAACTCATCTGGAAGTTCAAGTGCTCATATTAACTAGACAGCAAACTAATACATGTTTTTTCCAGCATGGACATATCCACATGCACCCATGCACCAGCTTTAAATCCAGTTCTTCAAAACAGTTCCACACTCTGCACGTCAGTCAGCCTACCTTGATAAATAACTTTACAGTTAAGATATCTTAGAATCTAATAAATTATTTAAAATATCTAATTCATCATACAAACAAGGAAAAAACAGACTGTAACTAAACAGTTTTCAAAAATCTGTAGTACTACTAAGCTATTTACATAGTACTTGTAAATGATTCAATAATCAATGTAAACGATGTTGGAATCTACTTCCAAACATGTGAAGGAAATTAAGGTCATTACAAAAAGTCAAGGTAGATTTACAATAGACAAGGCAGAATAGCTTTAAACTGAAACAGGGGAGGTTTAGGTTAGGTATCAGGAGGAAGTTTTTCCACACAGAGGGAGGTGACACACTGGAACAGGTTGCCCAAGGAGGCTGTGGATGCCCCATCCCTGGAGGCATTCAAGGCCAGGCTGGATGTGGCTCAGGGCAGCCTGGCCTGCTGGTTGGTGACCCTGCACATAGCAGGGGGTTGAAACTAAATGATCATTGTGGTCCTTATGAACCCAGGCCATTCGATGATTCTGTGATGTTGTTACCACTATTACAGGCAGCATTTTTAAAGAAACACAGAATTAGAAACAATAGCACAAAAATATTTCTACACCCAGCTCTAAATACTTATTTAACCCATCCACAGCTGTAAATACTTACTTAACCCATCCACTCACAAGATCCAGAAGCTCTTCACTCCAGCAGCAGTATTCTCTTTCTGGAATACTCTCTTATATTGCCTAACAACAGATTTAATTTCAAACGTACATTGTCAATTATGCCAATATTTGTTTTTTCAACCCTATTAAGCTAATTTTACACAAATTCACATTGATCTATTTATAGAGGAATGGAAAATTGGAATTGCTGCCAAGTTTATTTGCAAAACATCCTAAAAAATCAAAGTCTTCTTTTAAATCTTTTTCCCATGGCATTTACATTCTTAAGATCACATTACCAACTACTTAAAATTACAGCACATTTTTGCTACTTGGACTAAAGATACCATCACTATGTACCCACCTGGGCAAATGGTGTAGAATGTTGCTAACTAAACTGCAAAATCACTTCCAAAGCAAAGGAAACAAAGCATTTTCCAAGCTTTTCTCTGAAGTGCTTTGGATTGAGGGAGCATTATCTGGCAAAGTACGTTATCTGCTTTTCTTCTACCTATTTTTTTTCCTCCCGAATTCATCAAAGTTGCAGGACTTTAAGACATCAAGTGCACAGAAAACAGAAGTAAAAAGCACTTGGGTTTGTACAAAGCAGAGCAGAAAAAGCAAAGATTCCCACTGCAATAACTCTATTCCTTCTGCAGGAATAGAGCATTTCTGCAGTTGAAGCAATCTGGATTAGCACCAACCAATGCAGTGCATTATAAGAATGTGCTTCTCCCAGCACAACATTAAGAACAGCAACAGAAGGAAGAAAACTGGCCTAAAATGGGAAGGACTTAGGAAGCATAGCGGTACAAATTGCAATAAGCAACTCACAGCTGTCACCAGAAGAAACAGGGGCAAGGCAAAAGAGTGAAGCACAACAAAGAAATCAGTACAATTAACCTGGGAATGAGACCACACCAGCAGCTGACACAGAGACAAGGTAATCCTAAGAAGAAAAGAGAGAAAGACTGAACCAAGAAATCCACTTAGAATTTTAGGGCAGAAGCAGAGATATTATACTGCAACTGCCTACACATGTAATAATGCACGTAATAAATCAGTGAGATCACGAGAGGTCTCCAGTGACCAGGAAAAGGTTAATGCTATGCCCATATTTGAGGCTAGGAAAGACAAGGGAACTGAGCTGCTCAACCTCACCTAACATCAGCTTCCAGAGAAATCATAGTGCTCTCTGTTGGAATCTACTTCCAAACATGTGAAGGAAATTAAGGTCATTACAAAAAGTCAAGGTAGATTTACAACAGACAAATCACACTTCAGTGGCCAGACTAGACTGTACTATGTGATGAAACTACTGGCTTTGTGGATGAGGCCGAGCAATTAATGCAATATCCTTTGAATGTATTAAGGCTTCTGACATTTCCAGTCAGTACATGCAGAGTAGCAGGACAGACAGTGAAATCAAGTCTTTGGGCATCTTCACCATTAACCAGGATCATGAGGCAGAACTTAAAGCTGACACCACACTGGTAGCAAAGACAGACATACCTAACATTAGGGCTCAGTGTCCTGGAGGATACAGAGAAATCTGAGCACTGGGCTAAGTGAAGTTCAACATGGAAAAGTGCCAAGCTCTCCATCTGGTGCAAAAAGAACCTATGCATTAGTACAGAATAGAAAGTAACTGGTTGAGCAGCCCAGCTGAAAAGATGTAAAAATGTAGCAAATATCAAACTGAAGATGGAATCAATGGTGCAATCTCATTAAAAGAAGAACAAATGCTATTTTTTATTAGGGAAAAAGTGGTCAATGGAGAAAAAACAGTGGATCGACGGAAGATCCCCCCTCTGCCTCTTGCTTATCAGTTCTAAAACACTGTGTTCAGTTCGGGGCTTCCTAGTTCAAAAGGCACTTGGAAAAACATGAAAGAGCTGAGCAGATGGCATATAACCTACAGGCACCAGAGAAGCTTTGAGTACACTAATGGAAGTTCTCAAGGCAAAAGTATGACTGATCCGATCCAATGATGGTGACAGTCACCTCCAAGCAGAAGGATGGACTAGGTGACCTCCAGAAGACCCTTCCAAGAAACATGCCTTTGATTCAAGCATGTGGGATGACAAAGTCAAAACAAAACACAGACTTCATTATAAGAGTAAGAACAGACGTGTCAAGCTGGGGAGCAGGAGGAAATGTGTCTGTATTTACAAATCCACAGTTTGCACAAAAAAGCAGACTGGAATTCAAGATTCCTGAGTCTCACTACTGCTTTGCTGTCATTATAGACTTGGGAAACTTGCAAGATGCAACTAATTCCTTCCACTCCTGATCCATAAAGATACATCAGCTTCATCTATACAGTGATTTTGCTAGCACAAGCAGCAGAGGTTTAAAGTTCCTAAAGATGCCCATCTACCAAGATACCATGGGTACTAATGACACCACAAGGCTATGGTGTCATTTGTTGTCCTAGTCTGCACTGCAGATGCTATATAATTCTGGTTTTTAGTTTCTTCCCCCAGCACATCCCACCCCTTAGGTATATGAGACCCTGGAATACGATTTTGCAGCAATTAACAATTAAAGCCAAGCTCTGAACATACAAAATTGCATACAGCAATTACAATACAATGACAAACAAGTCCCACACAGTTCAAATTCTGCACCCAAATTCAGTGACTATGGTTGACTTTGATCTTACAGCACTCATTTCCCCACCTGTTAAATGCAATCAGTAATTCATCTGACAAGAAGGAGATGAAAAAGCATCAATACAGATTCATAAAAAACAATATTTAGGATTTTTCAGCTAACGTGACTGTCATACTTGGAGAAAGACTGAAAGGCCATCCATCACGCAAAGTATGGAAAAGATAATGTTAAATAGTCTCATAGTTAAAACTACCCAGTTTCTGCACCGAACAAAGCAGTATTTTTCCACTTCAATTATTTTCTATGTTACTTTCATATACTACAGAAACTACTGTAATAACACTCACATATTAACACTCAGCTTCAAAAATATAGGTTTGCAGAACAGAACAATCAGTAACTAGAAAATGTCAGTTAAAGTTATACAAATATGTTAGAAGTTTCTAGTAGATATTCGTCTATGATACAGCCCCCTACACACTGGGGGAAAAAAATATCAAAACCCACAGACAGTAAGGTTGCTCCTTTGTACAAAAACAAACAACAAGGAAGAATATAATCACAGTATCTATTTAATAGTCTGCTAACATACAAGGGAATATAACCACAAATGATGTCCTGTTTGTCACATGCAGTTTCTGGATGAAGCTCAATCACTAAATACTAACAAAGTAACTTCTTCTGCGTGCAAAAGAAATGTGTTTTCATTTACTACAGACAGTGGTTTTGTTCTTTATCAACCTATGCACTTTCTACAGTAAGCAAAAAGAAGGTGAAAATCCAAGCTAGAGTTTGTGCTTGGCTTTAACTCTGTTGGAAACTTCAACAAGCACATGTCTAAGAGAAAATGACATTTTTCTTGTGTGTTCACAAATTAAAAAAACGTACAGACATTAGTATGAAAAACACAAATGAGATTACGCTGTTTCACCAGTACACTGAAAAGGATTACACTTCCAGAGAAGCAAAATTCTTCTAATGGTCTTTGAAGATTTTTGCACAGCCATAAAAAGCTACTACTCCTGCTGGATTATACCAAAGACTTCTTTTTAAACGAAGAAATTTGATAATAAAAGGGGCAGACCATCACATACTAGTGCATATGAGAACTTCAGAATAGAAGTCACAGAACACTTCAAAATTAACAAAAAACAGCTTCTGTTCATCAAAATTCATACTAATGTAAACAAAAACCAAACCGTGTGATTCCAATATGACTCCATTTTAATTGCCTAATTTACAAATACCAAATTTTGCCAAGTGCTTGCTGATAAACTTTTCAAAAATCCTTTTTTTTTTTTTTTTAATCTGAGTAAGCCTCCCAACTTTTAAGCCTTCACTTAGAATCACAAAATGGGTTGAAAAGGACCTCAAAGATCGTCGAGTTTCAACCCCCTGTTATGTGCAGGGTCACCAACCAGCAGACCAGGCTGCCCAGAGCCACATCCAGCCTGGCCTTGAATGCCTGCAGGGATGGGGCATCCACAGCCTCCTTGGGCGACCTGTTCCAGTGCGTCACCTCCCTCTGTGTGAAAAACTTCCTCTAATATCTAACCTGAACCTCCCGTCTCAGTTTAAAACCATTCCCCCTAATAATAAGGAAGCAACAAAGATGCAATGAGGCGCCAATGCAGCAGTGAGTGGTCAGGCACTGGAATGGCTGCCCAGGGAGGTGGTGGAGTCGCCGTCCCTGGCAGTGTTCAAGAGGTGTCTGGCTAATATCCAACTAATATCCAACCTAAACCTCCCCTGTCTCAGTGCAAAACCACTCCCTCCTGTCTTGTCACTTACCGAGATAGAGTTGATTTCCCCGACCCAGGTAGGCCTCTTAAGATAAGGAGCACTTTCCGTGAACAATCAAACCTCTCCTCAGGTAGGAAAGAAAATCTACGCATTCCTTCTGCACTGTAAGTTTTTGGTTCCTCCCAATACTCTTTTCTGGTTTCACAGAAACCATTACTTTGGAGTCCACTCTGGTGATTATTTCCATTTCTAAAGACCTGAGTATTTTGGAAATCAGTATGACCAACATTGTAGCTACTCTGATCGTGCACTGCACCATGACAGTTGATATCCCCATCTTCATGGTAACCATAGTAATTTTCATAAGAAAGTTCATCATTCTGAGAAGGAAAAGCATCTGTTTTTTGCTGTGTGGAATTAAATATCTGAAAATGTGCCTGATGGGTCAGTCTAGGAGGAGGAGGCCCCTGAGGTACTATGAAAGACTCCCTTGATTGCCAGGCAGGTCTGAATTCAGGCACTGAATAATTAGACTCTATTTGTCCATTAAAGGCATTTTCAGTTTTCCAGCCACTTGTTTCCATGACAAACTGTTGCTCACTGCTTATTTTCTGACTTCCCTGTTCCCCAAAGAAATACTGTCCATTCTTGTAAAATGATTGTGGGCTGTCCAACAATACATGTTGATAATCCTCTTGTGATGTTTGACCGCAATTATACACAGAATATTGTTCCTGAGAAGTTTCAGTTTCCTTTTCCTGAAGCAGATTTAAATTTTCACTTTCCAGCTGGTGAATTTCTTTGTAGAACTGGTCCAGTTCATCATCCATTCCTGATACAGCAGAAGAAATGGCTGGCACCTTCTCTGTCTCAGTTCCTTCAGTTCTGTTTCCATGTGTGCCATCTCCCACACTGCTTTGACACTCATCACAGCTCCCAGACTGGTCCTGTGTATTACACTCAGCAGGCTTGTAAATCGGTCCAATAAATTCTTTGCTTGTAATAAACTCTTCATCTGACTCATTTCTATTTATTGAGAATGCTATGCAACTATTTTTAGTATTATCTTCATTGACATCATTCGCAGTAAGAGGATCTTCCTTTCCTTCATCCTCAGTGCCATTTATTGATACAAATGGAGGATTTATGTTCTGCACAATCACAGAATCAACTGTTTGATGAAACTCTAGATTACCTTCTGGAAGCACTTCATTCGCTGCTCCAAAGACATTCATAGGTATTTTCTCCTGCTTCTGCACTTCATTATCCCCTTCATTATCTGAAACACACACTGGTATCAAATCATTGGAGGTTCTGTCAGGGTCCCCTTCTTGAGTGCCTTGGTTGCCACAGTCAGAGAGGTTCTCAAACGCCCCTTCCGTTGACTTCATCTTTTTAGAACACGGTTCAGTTGTGATTTCATCCTGACACTCCAACAGCCTTACTCTACTTTCAGCATGAAGCATCTTTGGAAAAAAAGACCAATACATTATCAACACAAACAATTTTAAAGCAAATTAAAAAAAAAAAAAAAAAAAAAAAAAGTCAAGTTACTGAGGCCTATGATGTGCTTCTTTGGAATCTCCACTATCACAACTGAATGTGAAGCAAGCACTGAGAAGAAGAAAAGCAGGCAATACCTACTGGAAGTCTTGTTTAGTAGCATGGCAATTTTGTTTAAACATCTCTATATATGAGAAACACATTAGTGTTGAACCAGTCTTGCAGTCATGTTTTGTATCTTAATTTACAAATCAGTCTTTCTTCATATGAATTTTATATTTGAAAAATAAGTTAAATCAACAACTTCTGTTCTCCACTGACCTTTGTTAATCTGCCAATTACAGATCTCTACGATAGGATTAACATGTGCCAAATTTCAAAGCACAAACTAATGCCTAACATCACTACTAAGACGACCGACAAAAATGCAAATACTTCAGACACTGGGATTACTTTCTGCGACAGGAACTCAGCTAATTCATTTTACACCAATAAAACAGATACTGGATGGCATCTCTAACTTGGCACTGGTTAAATAAGGCTTAAAGTTAAGTTTACAATCTGACATTATGTTTCTGGTTATGGAACAACTAAAGACCTTCATTAGGTATCAAAACCACGCAGCTGCATACTTTCAAAGTAAACTGAAAGGTAATCTGAGCACTAAATGAACTACAATCTAAGAATGGAGCAGTAAGTTCCAGAATGACAGACAGCTAGAGCAAGAGCAGTTAAAAACACAAAGTCAGATAGTTCTCATCAGTGTGACATGCAGTCATGCCATTGCCCCATCCATTATCCATAGTTTGATTTTCCTTAGCACTCTAAAAGTCTGTATGTAACGCAGTGAAAAGCAAGTCATCATAAATTAAGTGCCAAGTAGTATATTTAGCAAGCCCTCCAGAATACCAAACACAGTATTAAATGAGAAAGTAATTATCCTACCAGAGGATTTATTCCCCTACTCTCTGTCAACTGTGGAATATTTCATCCTTCTAAGAGTTAATATTGATCAAATGTTACATGCTCATCATCTCCAACAAAAACCAACTTTTTCCTTCCTTCGCTCTGTCTGAAAAGGATCTGTAGATAACATCAAAGGAAGATGCGTAAGTAATATTCTTCATTTCAACTTTATGTGTAAAACTTGACAGGTGTTTATCAGGACACCTTCTCACCTACTGTAAAAAGTAAGAGTCAGAAAATGCTTAAGCCAAGGAGATTTTACTGTTTCTATTTCATTTTGATAACTGGAAGATAGCAGTACTGCCATATGGTGGAAAAACATAGCCACGCATGACAATATTCCTTGGTATTACTGGGTTGCTGCTCTGGATACCACTCTCTCCATCTCTCAAGACTCGCACATTGCTTCTCACACATCTCCTGCTTTTCAGTTCCCCCTTTTTACAAATTGGAAAGCAAGTATAATATATGCCTATATCCCCCAACTACTAAAAAATGTTACTTTATCTCTACTCAGAAACACTGCAACCTGCTCTAGGGGACCTGCTTTAGTGTGGGCACTGGACTCAATGATCTCCAGAGGTTCCTTCCAATCCCTACAATTCTGTGATACAGTGAAAAGTTGCTTTACTCTCGTTTCTATTCTCATCTCACTTCTGGAATGGGGCTTAAGCAAGGCATGCACATATTCTTATGTGAAATGAAAGTAAAGGAGCATGTGAGCTACCTGCTGCATGAGAATTTCTCTCATGATAAAGACTGCTGTGTGACTGTCCCACACAGGGAATACTCCTTCTTTCTAATCTTCAGCAGGCGTGCTCAGATAACATTAGGGAAAGATAAAGTGCACGTAAAAAACATTTCCACCTGCAGTCAGAGCATGTACATACTGAGAAAGTGCAATCTACCTTACAGTCTTGCCTTTCGAAGGAGACAAAATAGAACCACAGAATATCCTGAGTCGGAAGGGCCCCACAAGGACCGCTGAGTCCAACTCCCGGCTCCACACAGGAACACCCCAAAACCAGGCCACATATCCAAGAGCACCGTCCAAACACTGCCTGAACTCCAGCAGCTTAAGGTCGTGATCTCTGCCCTGGGAAGCCTGATAGCTCCGTGGCACTGAAGATACGGTTGGAAGCACCGAACCCGAGCTGCACACACGATCCACTTGGCAGTGCTTACAACGCCATGTCATCACTTCGACCTGCCAAACGCCTCCAGCAAGTAACCGACGGCCTTAAGCTCCACGTCTACAATAAATTCACTAACGCAAAAAAAGAGGGCGCATGTGGCAGAGGCTGAAGATTAGGCGAAGGCCCGGATCTGCCCGTTCGGGCACGGAGGAGGCAGCGCTCCGAGCCCTTCTCGCTCACGGACGCACCGCACGGCCGGGCCAGGAGCAGCAGCGCTCGGGAGGCGTGGGGTACCGCCCGCCAGCCGCCACCTTCCCCCATCCCCAGCCAGCCTCCTGGCACCCGCGCCCACCTCCCCCCCACTGACCCCTCGCTTCCCCTCACCCACATACGGATGAGGAAACCAACCTCAAGACACGAGCGCCCGCCAGCCCGTCTTCCGCCGTCCCGGCGAGCGACGCACCCCCGGCCGGCGGTGGGGGAGGGGAGCGGAGGGCAATCCCTCACTCTCAAAATGGCGCCGGCTCCGCCTCCCCTGCTCTCCTCACCGCGGCTCGCTCTGGGACTCGTAGTTGCGCCCCGCAGGGCACAGGCACAGGACTACATCTCACAGAATGCCCTCGGTGGCGGAGGGGTGGGCCGTCGCCCAGCGGGCGGTGAGCGGGCAGTTAGTGTTGTGGGCGGGATTCGGGCCGCTCTCGGTGAAAGGCGGCTCTTGTCCGAGATGCGCCCGGAGCCCCGGCGTGAGGGTAGGGGCGGTGCTCCGGGTCGGTTGCTGTGTGCTGGTGGAGTGACGTGGGGTTGTCTGTGTGCACCCCGTTCCTTCCCCCTGGGGGAGAATTCTCAAAGCCAGCCCGGGTCAGTGGATTTTAGGTATTCTCAGCCTTGGCTGCACTGCCCAAAAATGGGCAAGTTCGTATTGATATCGAAACATTTGGTGTTTATTCCTAGAAAAAGAAAAAAAAAGAAAGCAAAAAAAGTCAGCTGCTGTAAGCATAGGACAAAACTCCTGAATGCTAAAATCATAGCCTCAGTGCTGCAGTAGTTGTGTAGGTATTGTCCATGTGCTACCAGACCTGGGAAATGTGCGTGCAGCTTCTTCTAAGGAAGAAGGGTGGCAGAGCCTTTTCCCACCATTCCTGACTGGAAAAGCAGTGTGTGAATTCCTGTGGAACTCAGGAGCAGTGCAGTGCTTGGTGGTGGTCTTTCTTGTGTCACTGGGGCCTGAGTTTTGTTCCATATTTTGGACAAAAGAGTCAAGTGGACAAATTCTGCTGCGATTTTGAATTAAAGAGAAATTCAGAAGGATCTGGTCATTTCTACCGTGGGGAGTTCTTTCAGGAAGGGAAATAGGAAAAAAGAGAAAAAATTCACCTTTGTTTCTGAAAGAAAAATGGCTAGGTACAGCATATACGAAGGAGTGTGTTACTGTGGTTAGGTGGACTAGTTCTAACTCAAATATTTTTGGAAATAAAAGGACCTGAATTGCTTTATTCTATGCTTTGTATGAGATTATCTAAAAAATAATGAGTAGTCCTTAAGTTTATTGTTCAAAAAGATTTTGTGACCAAGATGATTGATTTCTTAGAGGAGTCTTGATTGCATAATCCTAAGGAAAATATCTATTTCCTATCTAAAATAATAGCTATGGGCTTCTCTATGCAAGCCAAATCACAAAAGAACATGAGAAAACTGTGAGTTAACCATTTACACAGAATGAGTGTCCCCTGGCCTTTTGAAGATAGTGCCTGTAGATCAAAGCTCTCAAGCACTTCATGGTGTGTATCTAGTGATTGTCTCAGATGTATTTCATTTGGGGAATTCTCCCAGTACTCATGTATACAATTAAATAAGCCACGCATTGCAACTGACAATATCAGGTATTTTTTTTTTACTTCACCGGGTGTAATAAAATGTTTCCCTGATGATATTACAGCTGCTACAGGTATCACCCACCTGGATGCTTTCCTGTGCAACCTACTGCAGGGAAGCTGCTTTAGTGGGAAGTTGAACTTTGCCATTTCCAGAAATCCCTTCCAACCCCTACACCTCTGATTCTGTGATCTCATAGGGAAGATGTTATACCTATATCAGACAAAGCTACAGATGATTCTCCTAGGATTCTGAGGTACTCTAGATTGTTAAAGAAGTTCCATCAAGAACATCAGCAGGATAAGTTGATAGGGGGTTAAAAGTAGAGTGAAAGTACCTGACTTGTTCAGGACTAGTCAGAAGTTCCTTGACATCTATGCCAACACCTCAGTACTACTTGATGAAATGTTGTCTTTAATTGATCTAACAGAAGAGTGAAAAGGAAAAATTCCACTTTGTATAATCATTATTGCCATAATGTTTAAAGACTCGTAAGTTTGGGTTGATTTGAATATTAGAGGTACCATCATAATTTGTACATGTAAGGGAAATGAATAAGGTTCAGTCTGAAATAAAAGATATGTAACTTGACATTATGTAACTTTAATGTTTAAACTTGCAAACGAAACGTTTTCTCAGAGTAGCTTTGCATTTTATTTCTTTAGTTATGAGATGAAGGCAACTGCCTATTTTGGAGGATGTCTTGATTACCAGTTATCATGGTTTACCAGTATCCATGACACAGATCATCAAAGTAAGTAGTTACAGTACAGTTACAGTACAACATTCTTCTGCTGAGCTCAATTTCATGTTATGTAGAAAAACACGTCTTGGAGCGCAATTTCAAATTACCAGTAACTTATGATAACAGCTACTGTCAGAAGAGGTTTTCCTGCTACCCCCTTCCCACTCTTGGGCTTGTCCATATGCTGCCCTACTTCCTTGAGTGTATTAGCTTCTGTTTGGCCACTGAGAGTCTCAGTGCTCATGTGTTGGCTTATCACTGGTGGCCCAAGTCTGTCCAGAGCTGGGGAAGGAATGGGAACATGTAGCTGGAGAGAGTACGGGGGACCCCTCCGTTCAGCTGCATTCAGCTGTTTGAATCAGTTTCACTGTGATACCTCATGAATTACTAACGTGACACTTCCAGCACCTTCCTGTAACTGTTGTACTCCAGTATTGCTACCTGCTGTGACTCCACCTCTTGTGTTAATTTCCAATATAATCTTGCTTCTTGCCTGTTTCTCATTAATCATTTGCATCCCATAGTGCTGTATCACTTCCTTCTACCAGTGCTGGTCTTTTTTTCCCTTTCCCTCACTTTCTGTTTCATTCAGATTCTTCGTTCTATTTTGTGTCACTTTCCTGCAAAACACTAACGCACCAACTTTATCTTCTGCTAGTCTGAAATGTGGCACCACGGTGGCATCCAGTTGCTGAGGGGAAACTACAGAAAAAGTACTCAGTTTCTCAGCTCTCAAGTAGAGTCAGTTTGCACAGAGGCAGTGAGACATGGACACCTTTAAGTCTTTGCAGAGACTATTTGTAATGAGCAAGTTTGGGTATGCTGGAATATTCTTCAGACTAGTCTAATTCCTGTTCCATTAAAGGAAGAGCACTAGGTATTTTTAATAAAAAGCATGTTTTTTTTTCTGTGAAGAAAGACTTGCCTTGAGTTTGTTTCTAGAAATATATTAGATAAAACTTCCCGATAATTAAGCATGAAGAAAATAGCTGGCATGAAAAATATTAGTCCAAAAATTAATTGTTGTCAAAACAAAACAATACATTTCTGTTTTCTACCCTTTGATAGAAAATATTAGACAATTATGAGACAAGACAATCAGACTCAAGCTGTAATCACAAGGGAAAAAAATCAAGAGAAATATCCAGAAGGCTCTACTTGACATTAATTTTTACAGTTCAGGGTTAATATAGAATGATAGGTAGTTCAGTCATTTAAGTCTTTTGGCATGATCTTGTTATTAGATTTAGCAGAGTCCTCTTTTTTTTCTTGTCATGATCCTGTTCTACTAATCACATTTCAATAAGACATGCATTTGAGTTCAACAGAACTACTTACAGATATATTTGTCTCTTTCTAAAGAACCTTGTGTCTTAGTTTGTCCTGCTGCTCTGTGAATCACTACATCTATTTAGAAAAAAATGAGGCTTCAAGGTTATTTAGGAAACAATCTTCCATAAGTCTTTGAATTTAAATCAAACTATAGAGAGAAATCCTGGTGAACATCAACACTATAGGAGTATTGCTCATCAGACAGTTTTCTGAAACGTTTATACAGCAAAGTATGCTGATCTGTAAATGACAGTTCAACATTTGAGTAAAAAACAAAACAAAACAAACAAACAAAAAAACAGGAATAGCTTTGGCTTGTTAATTTCCACCAGTAAAGAATTTTTAATTTTCAAATTTCAACCTGAGAACTAACATAGGAATTCTGTTTTACAGTTTTGATAATGCCCTATCTGTTTACCTGCTGGTTTTGGGAGATAGGAGTACTTTCTGGAGCATGTAATACATTCCAGTAAGTGATGTTTAAGGCATGGCTAGTACTTCTTTTCACTACGATAAAAGTAGTTTGTCATTTGAATATTGTTATTTGGTTTCCTTCTTGGTTAAGAGGAGCCCTTTTGGACACAAGAAACAATAGGGGAAAAAAAAAAAAGAAAAAAAAAAAAGGAATATCTCATTAGTTTATTTTGGAGATTTTTAAAATCTTTGATTTAATTTTTTTTTTTTTTTTTTTTTTTTAAAGGGGAAATCTGCAAGATAGATTTTTCTTGACAGTAGAAGACTGGATCTGTGAGTTAGAGCTGAAGCACTATAGCACAAGAAAGCTAGCAGAAATGCACATTTTAGCCCTTGTTTCAAAGGACAGTGCTTTAGAAAATGTAACAACTGCTGGCCTGAGGTAAAGCTGAGTTCATAAGTTGTGAAATGTTAGGGGGAAGCAGACCAAGAAAAACATGATTCCGAACAATTCATGTGTTTCAAAGCAGAGTAAGAGGAGCTTCTGGGAAGAGAAACTTAAGATGAAGATCCAGGCACTGCTTAGTCTGCAAGCCTATCTAAATAGCATCTCAAATTTAAATAAAAATTGGAGGAGAAGGAGTATAATGCTTTCAGTGGGCTTAAATTCAATGAGACATTAAAAGAGGTAGCTTTCAGTAGTGGACAGACAGTGGAATGGTCAAAGGAAAATGTGTGAGTAGGAAAAAATGAGCAACTGAAAAATACCCAGCATTTTCCCAGCAGAATATATTTAAGTATTTAATGCTTAGTACATTAGTCACTCATGGGAGAGGAACAGATGATAAAATGCTATAGAAGTGTAGTGCAAAATATTTATGAAGTTGACATCCCCATTGTTTTGTAGAATACGTGCACAGTTGTTACTTGAAATTACTTTTATTTGAATACTTGAAGTTTAACAACTGAAATTTTTACCTTTCAGATACAACTTAGAGTAAAAGCATTTACCTCTTGAATATTTTCCTCATTTTGTCACACTAAAAGCATTGCTTAAGAATATTTAGATTATGCAATCTCCTTTCCTACCTCCCATCCTACATCTTGATTAAGTGTGGAAAGCATTTAAATCAATTAAAGGTATCTCAGAG